GGGATGGGACAGGGATGGGACAGGGATGGGGATGGGATGGGTGAGAGGCATCACCATCCCCTGTGATGAGAGAAGGGCTCAGAGCCAGAGCTGTGCAGATAATCCGGGCTCAGAGCTCAGCTTGGGCTCGGGCTCACAGCAGCCCCGGGATTTCCTTAGTCCAGGTGTGCATCTGAACAGCTCTGACTGCACCTCAGAGCAGGGCAGGGGCACTGCGGGGTTTGATGTGATAGAAAACCATCAAATTGACATTTCCCAGCTAGTGAGATTCTCAAAGGAAGGCAGAATCCAGGAGATAATTGGGGTATCTTTCTAATCCATGGGTGCTGCAGGATAAATAAATATTGGTGAGTCTGACTCCTTAGTCTGGKCCTCTCACAAAGCCACGTTCTTGTCTTAACTTTGCTGGCTGGGACAGAATATTACCCTCACTGTCTGTGAAGKCACATTTAACTCTATTTTCTCTTATTAAATCCTAATTATGGCTCCAGAGACTAAAGCCTGGGTACAAGTCCCCACTTTGCTCATGGAGGACATAATGCTTTTTCTGCTCTCAGGACTCTCATCAGGATTGTCACCCTTTCAGTCCTCACTGATCTGAAGGAATAAACATTGTTGGAACAGGTTTGTCAGAATTTAATMTAATTRTTAGAAACATCYSTTTATGGCTCATCCATCAGCACATYTCCCTCCTCATCTCCATCAGGAGTGGCCTTTGTGAGCTCGCTCTGGCAGAAAGCTTTGGGAGAAGGGATTTGGCAGTGAACGCTCACAGCTGCCCCAACACCAGCACAAAGGAKGGGTCACCCTGCACACCTCACAAGGGATATTTGGAGAGGAGAATTTTCCTCCAACTGCAGATGATCCTCAGGGCTGGAGGTGCTGGGGATGGAGAGAAACAGGAACAAAGCAAAGCAGCAGAGCTCCAGTTATCGTTAGGGCAATAAACACTCATCACTGAACCAGCTTTGCTACAAAGATGCCTGTTTTAAAATCAGGCTTTATGTTCCTAAGGCACTCAGACTCCTT